AAAAAAACATATAAGATTAATAAGATGCATCAGTTAATATAAACAAAAGATATTTATAAATATATTTAATATACTGCAGTTCTTATTAGTTATTCTACATCTTTAAAAATACAACAATATAGTTTAACTGAATGCAATTGAATTGCTTTAAATATTTATAACTACAATAGTATATTAAAAATAATTAATTGTTGTGATGTTGCCATGAGTGATTGCATGGCACCCTAGATATCGAAAGAAAACCATCGATACTACTTGTTTAACAGGTGAATTTTGTCCCCTTCTTGTAAAATATTCCAGAGAAATTGACCCAGTTTTTCCTCTCATGTGTCCCCCCTAGACAGTGCCGCTTAAGCCTCAGGAAATTTGGGTCTCTCATGGCTTCTCATCTGCAATACCAGGAAGGACACGTTGCTTATGTTTAAAGCAATCTAGTGATAGTAACAATTCAACCAATTGAATATAATTTACATATTGTCAAACCCATTATCTATATAGATTATTTTCATCAATGTATTAAAAGAATTAAATATATGAGTTTTCTGTTTCAAACAATAGAGTATAATTTTTTTAATTTAAAATTTCCTCGACCAGTGCTCTGTTTTGTTTTTATTAATCATTATTGCCAGCTTTACTTTTATTTTTATTAATATCATCATCCACCCCACTAGCTGTATAAAATACACTTCTATCAGTTTAAATAAATTGCACTCAATTGATTAAAAAATGCAAATGATCAATTAATTAAATTGATAACTAATGAATTTTAATTAATATTTTTTTACTAATAGATGTATTTTTATTAATTCTATAGGTACTGAAATTAATAACTATATAAAAATTTATTAATTCCAAACTTTATAGGATTTAAATTAATAATTTTTAAAAAATATACCTAACATCTAACTAATTACACTGTATCATTTAGAACATATGTTTTTTTTAACAAATTTGTCAACACAAAGATGCAAATAACGAGTATTGACATTATTTTCATTAAAGATTCTCCAAAAGGTTTGCCCATTACACGAGGAATAAAGTCTCCATTGCTCAAAAAGAATGGAGTGGTTGTGGTTCCACTAAATTCTAGGCTTGCTCATTACACGAGGAATAAAGTATTCTGGATTCTGTATTTTACCTCACACACTATAATTTTCCCACAGGAATATTAATGAAGAAAAAAACAATAATCTATAGATTTTTTTAAATTTACCTTTCTCAAATAGTAATTGCAAAAAAGAACAAAATACTAAACACAATATAATCTAAGATGATGTTTTAAATTGTGTTTCAATCACGCTTTGCAAATCTTTGAATTTTTCTAGTTTTAAATTAACTTTTTATGTTTCGGAATTGTTTTAATTTGCTAGTGTTAAAAATAAAATTTAAAAAATAATATATATATTATATTTACAAGTAAAAAATATCTTAAAAAATAAAATTTGATACACTCCTAAATAGACACTACAAGGGGGTATTTGCCCTGTGGTTGAACCGGTGTTCTCGAAAAAAATTAAAAAATCGACTAAAACCTTTGCTTGGCCCAACCAAAAAGCAAAGGACAAGAATGTTATTTATGGTTTGAGTTGAGTAAAAGTGGTCCAAGATGATAATGGCTTGTCCACGTGGAGTCATGGTCAGTGTGACCGATTAGTGATGCACGCATGACGTCATACCGCATTCATTTCTTAATGACCTTTTCCTCTTCATTTTCCTATATTTTATTCATTCTACTATCGTCGTGACATTGCTCACGTGACACTGCACTGTCGTTAGATTTGAAGATCAGCGTGGAAAAGGATGTTTTTCCCCTCCATTGATTAAGAAAACCCCCAACTGAATTTTTAAAAAATATAAAATTAATATTTATTTTTGATAATATTGATATATTCAATAATATATTTCTAAATAAAAAATATTTTTTAAAAATACTTTACACTCCCCTGGATCTCCAAGTCAAGGTTTATACTAATAATATCCTGGAGCTCACATGCATAGTTAATTAAGCCAACCAGCAACAGAAATAAAGAGAAGAGAAGAGAAGTTGAAAATGTAATTAAGTTCACATGATTATCTTTTAATCTGCATGTTCATTGATTAGTAATTGTGAATTATTAAGAAAAAAGGTCGTCTGCTTAGTGTTGCATGTGGGTCATATGCAGAGTCAACTGCAAAAATCACCATGGAAACCCTTTCGTTTACGTTCTGTTTTATTTAATTTAATTTAATTTAATTTAATCTAATCTAATCTAAAATCTCCCACCTTAGAGAATCCTACCTGCTTTCCACCTTTGTTCGCCAAAATATAATTTTAATCTTAAAAAAATATATACCTTGAAATCTTGAAATCTTGATGGCTTAGAGTTTTTTTTTTAAAAAAAAACTTCTTATAGCATTTTAAATATCTTTTCTATTATGCTTTTATTTAACTGGAGGATATTTTTAAAATAAAAAAATATAACCATGTTAATATATATATATATATATGTTGAAAATACAAATGATTAGAGATAAAATGAACTATTTATTCTAATTATCTAGAGTAGATATATAATATTTGTGCCACACATTTCTCGAAAACGAAACTTACACTGAGTTTTTAACCATACTCCCAAAACTCTATTTATTTCACAACAACTGGATCATTAATTACTTGCCTTTAACATCTACTTAGTATTTGTTTTGTGTAAAACATTTTACAAAAATAAATTTCCTATATTATTTTGTATTTGCATCAAAAAATATTTTTTTGTATTTGTTTCCCATAAAATATTTTACAATTAACCTTCAAACTTAATTCATTTACTGAAATATTTTTTTAACTCCTAAAGTTATGTAAAGTATTTTATGGATATTAATTAACTTGTAATATTATCCAATTATTTTAATCATTTTTTCAATCATTATTTTTATATCATTACTTTATATCATTACTATTATTATCACATTACCACTTTAATTTTTTATTTTAAGAGAAAATATTTCACTCAAAACAAACAAACATACAAACCCTTGTAATTCTTCATTTATTCACTACATATAAAACACAAGGCTGAAACCCTTAGAACGGGACGTTGAGCATGCCCTCATCATAAGGTTTGTTAAAGACACTATTTGAATCTCAATTTTCTTCACCTTTAAGCGGATTAATAGTATCAATCTCATATGAGAAGACAAGCCAACTCCTGCCAGGCAAAGGGGTTGGCATCTTCTTCCAAGTACTGAGGGAGAAATTTCTACATCATATATCCTCCATGGGAATCATTAACAAAGCTTGCAAGCAAAGCGTGTGAGGGGCTAGCAGCACCATGGATGCTATGGCTCGACGGGCCCTATAAAAAGTGGCTTCCTTTTCTTTTTATGGGTTACATCAAAAGTCGTGAAGATTGGGGGGAATTTCATTAGAATAATGTTTGGTGATTGATAGTTGTTAAGCAAAGCGTGTTTTAAGTGACAGGGACGACTATGGGATTCCACCATGTGAAGGCTTTAGTTAAGAAATCAAATCAAGATGACCGCAAATTCAAGATATTTCCTCATTACCTTTGACAATTTTGCATCAAAATATTTAACGTATGCATGTTTATGTATTTTTTAAATTTTATTTAAAAATATATTAAAATATTTTTTTATTTTTTTATTTTAGAATTTAGCCTATCAAAATCATTAAAAAAACATTAAAAATATTAATTTAATGTTATTTCAAGCCAAATATATTTTTATTTTAATGATTTATTAGGTTGATGATAGCAACGAGTTTAAGCAATTATACATTTTTGATGATATAATATAAGTTATTTTTTAATTAAAATAATAAATTTTTATATTATTTTTAAACTAAAAATATTTAAAAAATTATTTTAGTCTTTTTCAGATAAAAAGTAATTTAACAAATAAATGAATCCAAGTATTAGCCATTAACCTGAATAAATTAAACAAAAGCATGCATGATGGAAGAGTCTGTCATGGAGACGTTAGCAAGAGCGGTCCCTTCTTTATTTTACTTTTGTTTTGGATAACCCTCTCCTCCTCTTCCTCCTCCTTTCCTCCGTAGGATCTTCCTCTGCTAGAATTCTGTGTCCAACATTCGCAAGACAACTTCTTTAATTAATTCACTATAATTAGACATCTTCTAGTAACCAGATCAAGGCGTATCAGATGTTCATTTTTCTACATTAAAAGGTGTTTTGACTGTTTTCGAACCACTATGCGTTGAGAAATCAATTTAAGGTAGTGTATTTTTGTATTGAAATTCAATTAATACAATTATTAATTATGGAGAAAATCAAGAGAAAACAAAGAATTGGAGGAGGTATATTTTGAATTGAAATCCAATAGATTCAATCATCAATTATGGAATAAATCAGTATCACATAAAAGATGAAATCAATAATCTTGAATAATTGGAGATTATATTTTATTTCTATAATTGTTTGTATCAGTATGTGTTGAGAAAACCATATTTCAAATTGAAATTTAATGAATACAAGCACCGATTACGGAGAAAATCAAGTATGTTTTGGATTACGGAGAAAAAATAAGTACAACAAAGGTTAGGATGAAACCAAGGATTTTGAATAATTAAAGATTATAATTTATTTCATAATTACTCAATTATGTTCTTACATATATATATATATACTTTTTTAATTTTAACACCTTTTAATTGGTTGTTTTCGAAATTATTTGATTGTATTTGTTTATATTCCAGAAAAGTTTGTAAAAAATGTCGAGGAAGAGAGTATAACGATTGATGTGGTCATGCTTGATGACTCTTACAACTCTGCTTGCCAACAGAGCTCACATTAGAGTAATGCGAGGCTTCCGTGTAGAGCATTGCATCAAAATTCGTAGCACCTTTTGACTTGATTGTCCAAAAGATGGTGTCTAAGTCCAGAAGCATTAGTGAGATCTGAGATCATCAGGAAGGGAGACTTGGATTTATGCAGGAAGCTCATCTAACCAAAAGAAAATGAAAAACAGACTACTGAGAATCAAAGAGAAATACCATAAACCATGAACTCTCTTTCCTTTCAATACACAATAAATATCATAAAATGACACCCCAGATCAAGATGAGGGAGAAAAATGGAACCCAAGGCGACCTGTACTAATATGCTAGACAATGATGAGTGATGAAGCCAGACCATTATACAAAGATCAAGGAGCTAAGAAGAGATGTGTATCACACTAGAACCTCTCCGGCAAGTGAGGTTCGATGAAGGGTATTACAAAATCATGGTCTGCTATGGACAACAGCAACAATCCGTTGATCATGGTCTGCTTTGTCCACCGTATCCTTCATAGGGCTTAGTGGATTTACTAGACTTCCTCCTCAAAACTACAATCCAAGTGATTAATTCCAGCAATGCAGCAATTCCACCCAAGACTGCAATGACAATTATGTAAGTTGTTCTCCATTTATCTCCAGGCTGCAAGATATCCAGACCTTTAAACACGTTCAAGATGCCAAGGATGAGGATGGCATATCCGACACCATGATGGTAGATATTCCAGTAAAATCGGTATTTGTGGTCCTTCTTCGGCCTCAAGAACAATGCAAATATCTGAAAATTCCAAGCATAGAGTTGCTATCAGAATAGATAAATCCAAACTTAATAGTAACAGTTCAGACAAAACCAGTTTCCATATACATTGCCAGTAATACCGTCAGCCAAGAAGATGGACAACTATAGAAAAAGGGTTGTTGAATTTCTTTCTAAGTCAGTTTTGTAATGAAATTTTGTTTTCTTAAGAAATAAGAAATATATCCCCTTAGTTTTCATTATAAGAAAACGCTGAGAGAAAATAAAACTGAATGAGACATGCTAAAAATTCCGAATTCAATTTCGAAATACCATAGGAGAAAGCTACTCCACAAGTGCCATTTTTGTCAAGTTCATTCAATTTCACGCATTAATAATTCAGTACATTGCAAGAAACCGTGACCATGACTTTGACAGGAGAGAAAAAGACATCAACAAGCTCAACATGAAAACAAAGGCCAAATTCAATTCTTTTCTCTCCTTTCAAATGGATGGAAAGAGCAACTTGTAATGGAAGAAGAACACAACTGGGAAAGAAATCAATTACCTGCACTGTTGCAAGAGCGAAGAGTGCGATCCCAATATTGCGATGAAGAGAAAACTGGACTCCCTTGGATTCATTCCCAAGCTTTATACCAGTTGCCCACCCTGCAACCCCAATAGCATAGGCAGAGACCTGACAGAAAACATGAAGGTAAAACCATGCAGGATCTGCTGATGGAAAAGTTCTCAGATATCTTGCTATTAAAACTCCAAGCGGAAACAGAATTCCCCAGCTCACAGCGTTCAGTACTCCATGAATCTGGAGAAAAAAAAACAATAACACAGTAAATATTTCATTTCCAACGCTACTAGTTTTTCCAAAAAGAAAAGGAAAAAACCCAACTCAAAAATAAATCTTCAAAATCCAGAAACGGGTACCGAAAAGATGTTATTTTTTCAACAAAAATGACAGGAAAAAAAACAAGCTTACATTTTTTCTTTTCGTCCTGGAATCCAGTCCACCAGAGCTAACACTTTTTCCTCCGTTCAAATCCAAAGTCCCTTTAGAGTTCAAATTAGGAGCCCCCATATCATGGATCGTCAGCACACCCTTAGCAGCATCGACAATTGACCCTACTTGCCACACCTGATTCAGCGTCCCCTTCGCCGCCAGCTCCGGCGGGACCTTAATTTTGGCAAATATTCTCATCACCCCACTTTCCTCTTCTGCGCGCGTGTCCCAGACGTCAAAGGCCAGCTTCGACTGCACAACGGAATAAGGCGTGGAAGTGCTGATATTATAAGTCTTTGCGCTCATTACACCCTTGGAGTCCTTGAACGCTACCAGTGCCTGGGCCCCGCCCATGGCTGGAACCTTGGGATTTATGGCCCATGAAATCCAGCCGCTGGATTTCGCGGGAGAAGCAAAGAAGGCGACGGACAGCGTTGAATTTGCGGCATCGTAGGTGAAATGAAGGTAGGAGGAGAGTGTAGGAAGGTCTAAACAGTGGGTGTACAGATTGTTGTTTGTGAACGTCTGTGAGGCGCATGTTTGTGAACGTACGGGTAAGGTTAGAGAAATTGAGACGCAAAAGGTTAGAAGCAAAGCAGAAATTTTAAACGGAGATGCCATTTTTTAGAGCAAAAGAAAAGTTGAGAGAAGGATTTGTTCTTGAAGGTTTGGCACAGCACATATATAGAAAAGAAGGAAGGAAATACACAGCAGATGCCGAATGTTGATGACGTAGGAGAATTTTTAATTATTTATTTTTTAATTATCTTTATTTATATTTAATCTGGGAAAATATATTTTCATGTTTTTACTTTTTTTTATTTAGTTTAGGAAATTGTTTGATATTTTAGAAAATTGTTTGATATTTTTATTTTTTTCATTTTCAATTTATAAATTACTCAATTTAAAAATTTTATTTTTTATTATTCAATTTAGGCTAAAGACTAGTATAAATAGAATTGCTTAATTTAAATTTTAGACAATAATATCTAATAATAAAATCTTAAATTAGAGTTTTTGTATGGTAATTCTATTCAATAAATTTTTACATTTCCAGAACTTGTTTTTCTAGTGCATTTTCATTTATTAAGGTCTAGCTATTCGTGATAATGAATATTGTGTGTTGTTAAATAATTATGACAAGAAAAATTTATAAAATATGATGTGTTTATATAAAAAAGGATAAAGAGATTCTTTAAAAAAAAAAATGTTCACAAACGGTAATACAAGACATACAAAAATAAATTATAAAATTAACTTATTAATTAGTAAAGATGGAGAACTCGACGAATCACATAGAAAGTCATAATATATCGATGTCTATTTTAAAAAACTAGTTTGAGAGATGAGAGTAAATGAGGCAATATCTTAATTAAGATAAATATTATATGAATTTAAACAAATTTATTTAAAGTAAAATAGATATAAAAAGGATTTTTTATTAATTTGTCATTTATTTTAATAATGATTGTAATGTTAATGGTATAAACAACAATAAAGACAACAATGGTGTCATAAATAATGTTTTTATTGGCAATCTAGAAGTTAAATGCAAAAAATATACAGAAAATATTGAATAAAATAAAATTATTTATTGAGGCTATGTTCATTTTTTTTATTTCAAGCTTATTATTATTTTGAAGGGAGATTTGTTCAAGAATTATTTGGATATATCATGTGTTGATGAAGTAAGCTTGGGGTTTGTAATTTGTTACTCTAAAAGCCAATTAAAAAGAAATAGTTTGTCAAATTTTAATTCTTATGGAAAACATAAAATGATTGAAGTTATATAAAAAATTGCTATACATACAGAGTGAAGAAAATAAAAAAAGGGCTGGAGAGTATGGATTTTACATCTACGGGATTAAAATAAAAATAATTTTAACTTGAAAATGAATTCTCTCTAACAGAGATCTAGCAAAGATTGATACACGAGGAATTTTAGGAGAAATTATTTATTTTTATTTTTATTTAGTTTAGGTAAGCATGTTTAGAAAATCAAATACTATATTTGGCAATTTTTTTCTATTTAGTTTAAGATTTATCTAATTTAGAAATTTTTTTTTTTTTATTTAGTATAGATCTAAAACTAACATAAATAGAGTTGTTTAAGTTATATTTCAGTAAATTATTTTTTAAAAATATTGAATAATAAAATTTAAAGTTGAAGTTTTTATGCTATAACTCTATTCGACAGAACTGTAAATTACTCGTGTTTTTCAGTTTGTGTCATGGAAGTTAGATTAAACCCAGTTAATAAGTGTTATTACATGTGGTTAATAAGATCACAAGTACCTTCGCTTCCATCGATTACTTTTTCTTAATATGTCCGTCCTTTTCATCTCTCGTTACTTTAATAACTCGTTCTGTCCGTATTCAAATACTGAGTTGCTTGACAAGTGAAATTCACTGCTCACTTTATCTTTCTTTTTCTTTTTTAATATATATCTAGAATTAAATTCAAATACTGAGTTGCTTGACAAGTGATAAAACTACATTAAATTATCATAAAAAATGCTGTATCAATATTTATCATAAGCTGTGGCTTGAATAGATGACTCGGGCCAATTTAATCCTAAATTAGAAGAGAAAAGGTGAGCAATGACACTCGTTTAGTGGACTATCTCAGTATTTAATGTATGGATTTGAACGAAAGAACTTGTTTAAATAATGGAGTGCTAGTAGGAGGCTATGTTACGAAAAATAATTGATGGGGACCATACTAAAAGATATATGAATATAGATGCAGATAACCTCACATCTTTTTAAAAAATGAAACTAGTTTTATTTAGAGTTGATAATTATTTTTTTTAATAAAACGTTTTCTAATGATTAAACTTGTGTTATTATACCTGCAGGGATATAATATCTTAATCACTAAACCAATATTTTATTAGTATTAATCCCAATTATATGAGCTAATATAAAGTATTTTTATAAAATTTAGCTAAATTTAGTAGGGTGACTTTTCAATTTAAAATTAAGGTTTATATCTAATCGAGTTAAGAGTTGACCGTTACAAGCAAATTAATTTTTATCTTTGACTGATAAATACATGAATACTGATTTGTTTTAAGAAAAATTAAAATTATATTATTTTAAATCTTTTTAAAAAATATTTAAACATTTCCATTTTGAAGTGACGGGGTCAATCGGACTTTTACACAGTTCTGTTTGACCGATGCGGAGGCCGAGCAGGACACGCAGGGTATGTGAGGAGAGGAAAAGCAAATGTAATTATTGTTTTTCTTATTATTGAACAGCATGTGTTGTCATGATTGTTAAAAAAAGAAAGAAGAACTGAAAAATGTTTGAAATTGGGAATTACAAAAGGTGGCAGAGATGACACGTGGAATTTGACCTAAATATGTTAATTTATTTTTACCTGATTCCCAACTAATTTCATGCCTAAATGCTCGAGTTACGCTAGCTTTTACCTAAACATGCTTTCTAAAATATTTTCAACAGGTGGATTTTTATTTTCCGGAGTCAAATCCACTTATTTATACATAATATACGATTTTCCGGAGATATTGATTCTTTGATGGTAAAATTAGCATTTTTATTTTTATTTTTATTTTTATTTTTATTTTTATTTTTATTTTTATTTTTATTTTTATTTTTATTTTTATTTTTATTTTTATTTTTATTTTTATTTTTATTTTTAGTGTTTTGATAGAAAGAGGTTAAGTAGACGTAGAATGCCTTTTACTATAATCGGAATATCATTTATAATTAGTTTTTTGCTTTAAAATCAATTTAGATTTCCAGGTTGTTAGTAAATTTTTATTCAATTGAGCAAGAGGACCTAAACAATCAAAAGAATGAAGATTTTATTTGACATAAAAATATATATAAAGAAAATTGATTGAAAATTAAAATTGAAAATAATAATAACTTTTACAAAAAAATAAAAAAAAATTAGAAATCAAAATAATAAGAACTAAATTAAAAAATATAATACCATCAATCTGCATTGAATAATAAAATTAATAATTAATAATTTTTTTACAAAAAAACCAAGAAAAAATACGAGAAATAAAAAAATAAAAATCAAATTAATAAAAAATAATATATAGCAGAATGTAATGGAATGATGAAATTAAAAACAAATAAAACTTTTTATAAAAGAGTCAAGAACAAAAAAATAAAAAAATATATAGATTGAAGTTGAAAAATTAACAACAAAAAGAATCAAGTTATAATTTTCAAGACGAAGACAAAAAAAGAAGGAAAGGGATGACAATTAATAACAAATTTGAACCATTAAAATAGACATAAGATGCTATATATAAAAGAAGACACAATAATCCTTTAAAAGATATTTTTAAATATTAGAAGATACCACACGTAACGTATGCAAGGTGCACCTCCAACATAACTCTTGGTGTCATCCATATGTCACACACACACGCATGTATACATATATACATACATATACATATATATATATATATATATAGTTAAATATCAAATTTTTATAGATTTAATAATAATAATAAAAACTTTATGAAAGGATAAAAAAAAACTCATTAACTATAGTTTAATTTTTAATTTTTATTTTAAAGGCAATTTGATCATTTTCCTGCACTTTTTAATTGTTTATTGTTTTTTATATTTGGTCAAATGCTAAAAATTTCCCCAGCAACATTGTGAAAAATACAAAATTACACTTTGATGCACATCTTAAATTTTTTGATTTCAAAAGTATTTTTTCTATTTTACTATACAATTGAGATTAAAAAAGACTTATCTGCAACTAGTTAATTTAGTGATGATAAATGAGCTTTGTAAAAAATACTTGGATGTAATTGGAAGATTATGATAATGTTTTTAAATGAAAAGTTAAAACTATTATTACATTGTTCAAGTAAATAATATACTTAAATCTTAAATTTTAAATCTAGAGCTATAATGTTTTTCCAATACCAGTTGGTTTTATTTAATCCAATTACAATTAACATCATGGATCTAATACAATGAAAAAAAAGTTTAATAATGTTTAGTTACTTTATTTTATTATTTCATTTACTGATGAATGATATATACTGTGATTTATAAAAATATATTAAAATAATATTTTTATTTTTATTAACATATCAGACCATAACAAAACACATTAATTTTTTTTTATAATTTTTTAGATAAAAAAAATTAAAAAGCAAAAATTGTCACAATATCAAATATATAATGACTCTATTTAATATTACTGTACAAAATTTATGAATTTATTTTAACTTTAAATCAATTTTTTTATGTTTATTGATTATTTTAATATGTTAATGTTAAAAATATTTTTTAAAAATATTTTTAAATAAAAATACTTTAAATAAATTTTAAATAGGTGAAATGGAGGGTTAGATAAACTTTTTATTCTAGACACCACAATAGTTAAGAAATTTGTTTTAGCCCCTTTATTTTTATTTTTATTTATGAAGTGGTCCTTATTTTAAGATGATTTCATCCTTATCTTTTTTTGAAATTACATTTTAGTCTTAAGTGTAAAATTGAGATGTCATGACGACTAACGACATGTTTGGTACGATTTAACATAGTGTAATCAAGTATGTGATACTATGAAAAAGTAATATATAATAATGATTCACTGTATTATTTTGTTTGGTTGTCTAATTTTAAGTAACGTAACGGAAGCTTTTGATAAAATTTTATTTCAGACACCGCAATTGTTAAAAAAATTATTTCAATCCCTTATATTTTTATTTTTATTTCCAAACACCATAAAAAATAAAAGTTGTTATACTCAAATAGAAAAAACTAGCCCTAGCCCACGCTTCGCCATTAGTCAGCTAAAAAACTAATAATTGCATAGAAAATAATAAAATATGGATGCTATTATTTTTTCTTATATATGATGAAATGTCCGGAAAGAGTATTAAAAACTCAATTAATATATCGAACAAAATCAATCGATGACCATAAATGTTAATAAATGAAAAAAAGTTGACATGGCTTCTTCACTAAGGGTGACTACACACAGTGGGCCAAGGGTGAATTAGTCAACCCGTTTAAATGGTAACCTAGTTAAAAAATTTCACACAGCCATTGATTTAACTTTGTTTTAACCCTAGCTAAAATGTGAAACGATGAAATGTCAGAGAATTGGATAAAAAAAATATAGGAGTGATAAAAAAAATAAGGCAGTAAAAAAAATAATACACTATACTGACTTGAGTTAAAATATAAAATTTATAATTCTAGTAATAAACACAACAATAACAAGTTAGTCTAATTAAATTACTTATCTATCTTTTTTTTTTCTTCTTAATTTTTTTTTTGTCAGGCCTTCATTGCACCTTAATTAAAAGCATATTAAATTAAATTTAAAAGTAAATCAAAAAGTTATAAGATTATTGAAGATGAAATTTAAAAATTATATCATATTATTGAACTCCAGTTAAGTTGAATTAACAAATAAAATTTATAATTTGGTAATAAACTGATCTCAATTAATCATAATTTTTTTAAGATAGATGATAAAAAAAATATATGAAATTGTATTTTTATTTTATTTTAAATTAAATTAAAAAATTTAATGGCAACCAAGGGTTAAATCGCATTTTTATTAAAAAATAAAGGAAAAATACATTAAACAATAAAAAAATAATAAATATTATATTTTAACAAAAATATTTTTCTCGAACCAAAGTGAATCTAATAATATTTTTCTCTTAAATTTATTTCTTATCAAAACAAAAACTATAAAGAATTGTGAAAAAAAGCTCAAAAAAAAGCCCACTGAGCTACTAAAAGAATAACTCAACCTCCATGCCTATATATATATATATACATATATATATATACATATATACATATATACATACATACATACATATACACACACACACACACACACACATATATATATATATTAAGATAGCCTGTCATCTATCTCTATTATTTTGAAATAAAACTAATAATCAAATATGTTATTTATTTATTTAAATTCTAGCTACTATAGTGATAACTGAAAAATCAAGTAAGAGTCATTTTCTTCTAAAAATTTATTTTATAGCCCATTTTTTTTTTTTAAGTATCTTACAAACACTCTCAAAAACATCTATAAATCAATTTATCAACCTAAGGAACCCAAAAATTATCTTAAAACATGAAATCAAATCGAGTTAGATTTTTCCTCATTAATTTCTATTTATTTTTTTAGTTATTATCAAAATTTTAAGCAATTTTTATTGAGCTATTCTCTTTAAATGTAATCCAAACATGAAATCAAATCGAGTTGGATTTTTCCTCATTAATTTCTATTTATTTTTTTAGTTATTATCAAGATTTTAAATAATTTTTATCGAGCTATTCTCTTTAAATATAATCCATTAACATCAAAATAAATCACTATAATGGTTAGAATATATAAAATTAATTTTTTTTTCTCTACAAAAGAATCCGAGACTATCTCTTGTTCACAAACCATGTTCTTAAAAATAATAAAAATAAAGATTTGTACCTAAATTAAATTTAGAAACTATAAAGGGCTGAAGAGTTCAAATTTTTTAAATTGAAGGACTAAGTTAAATCCAACATTAGTTAGCTTTTTTCCCATTAAAATTATTGTGAAGCTCAAGTGGAATAGAAGAGAGCTTGTTGCATTGTGATTTTTGTAACGAGATTAGGTATATTTTGGAGAGGCTTGTTGGCTGTGGGTTAATTGTGTCTCCTATGCTATATGAAAGTTTGGTTGGGTGGATCCCCCCTTGCTATGAGATGAACCCCTTTTTTGCCATCATGATTCTGATGTATAAATTATTTTATGCAAATTCAAACTATATGTTATACAATCACAAATAGGTTACGAGTGTGTTGCTATTGTTTTTAGGTGTTTTTTTTTCTTGAATAAATATTAAATAAATATTTTTTTAGTATTTTCAATAATTATAACATGTTAATAATAAAAATAAAAAATATATATTTTATTTTTATTTTTTTAAAAAAGAAATATATTTTATTTTTTATTTTTTTTTAAAAACCAATTCCCTTCACTGTAATGTTGGAGATGCTTGCAGGACATGTAAACATAGTGGCAAACAAAAGGGTCCACCGAGACAAAAAGTAATTATTATCTTCTAAATATACTTTTTTTTTAACAATCATGAATTCCTAGCACCACATGAAACTCATACCAAAAAAAAAAAAAAGTTATTTCATCAGAACTAGAAAATAATGAAACTAGCAAGAAGAACAAACACAGCAAAACAGAAGCCCACATTCATCTCCTTAATCCTGTAACTCCCACTATTGTCATCGGTAGTGGTGGCATTTGAAGAACTAGTAGTACCATTGCCTGTTGAATTGTCACCAGCTGGGGTGGTGGTGGTAGCAGACTTGCCAGTTTTCTGAGCAGTAGTCAACTCCAAAGTTGCTTTGGCATCCTTGTTTTCTGCTGCAAATTCATGCTTGACAGGCTTCCCATTATTCACAGCAGAACCCACTTGCCAAATATGATTAAAAGACTCGATCTTTTCAGGCAACTTAACCGATGCATAGATGGTAAACTCACCACTTGTTGCATTGGTCTCAGCATGCAAGTCCCAAACATCGAAAGACAGTTTCTCCTCCCTTATGTCACCGTATGATATGATGTTGTATGTTTTTACCTCTGGTGCGCCTTTGCTGGATTTCAAAGCTAAAATGACTTGGGCCGCAGCCATGCCGGTGCCATTAAGGTTGATGCCCCAACCGGTCCAGCCATCGGGTTTGACAGGAGAAGCGATGAACGCGACTGAGAGTGAGGAATTGGAGGAGTTGTAGGTGTAGTGCAGGTATGACTTGAGGACGGGTAGGTCAGTGCAGTTAGTGTAAAGCTTCTTGTTGGTGAATTTTTGTGAGGTGCAGGTTAGTGAATGTGCGGGCAAGACTAGCAGAACACAGAGGGATAAAAACAGAGAGAGGGCAGAAAAGGGAAGGGAAGCCATTGTCAAGACAAAGAGAGGAGCTTGTGTGAGGGTAGTCCTCTAGATTTGCAAGATCATATATAGATCAAAGTGGGCGTGTCGCGTCCACCAAAGAGTGCAAGTGAGGTGTATGCTATTTACAGTGTGTGCACCAATTAGTTGGTGACACGTAAACATGGGGGTGAGGTCTTGGACGTGGATTTATGTGATTGGTTAGATGAACTTGGTAGTTGACTTGGATTTGCGGAGGTGGGAGTCGACGGGGGGCTCGAAGAAAGGGGAGGAGGGAAGATTTTAAGGGAAGCATTAAGGAACGTGGAAATAGCACGTGGGTGATGCCTAGCTACATGCAAAAATGTACCGTTAAACGAGCAGTGAGAAGTGCTGGCGTTGAAATGTGGGGGAGGTCATGTCCACACTTCCACTGTCCGTATTTCTTCGTATTTCAATTCACACTTTTTAAACCATATTTTTTTAAATATCAACGTAACTGTACTATAGTTAGAACACCTCTGTGAAAGTGTTCATAACTCCTACCGATCTGAAGGACAAGATTTTAATGCAAAGATGTTTTTGAATTGAATTCCAGTCAGAAAGAGGGCCCAGAAAAACGTTTGACTGATAAATTGGTTATAGCAAACATGCTCGAAAAACACATAAGGTTATTGCATCAACCTTCAAATCATCATTTTCATTAAAACAATATTGTTTTTTTTTTCAAAATAATTCTTCTTATTAACTCAATAGTTCCGTGGAGCCAACTAAAACACTAAAAATCCAACCAGATCAATTAACATAATTTAATTAAAAACCTAACTAGAATTAGATTTTAAATCATGTCTTTCCGGTATGAACTCATTGAATAGATAAAATCTAACATCTATAGTTTTCAAAGTGGATTTTTCACGTAAAAGTAAGTTGTCAGCAACATCGCACTTAAAATTTCGAGGTTGGGTGGAGGAAATGCAGGTATCATCGCATTTGTGTGAGCCGGCTGATATCCCATCATCAAAAAGGGGGAAGAAATCAGCAGAGGATCCTTCTGTTCTTTGTTTCAAACTTGAAAAGGCGAGCCACCAAAACCCTCCCTCCCTCAAAAAATAAGTCGGAAAAAATGACTTCGAGCGCTGGATAACTTGTTGGGTAATAGATCATTGAGAATCCACAAGACGTCGAATCCTCATTGACCAATGTGAACTTCAAGGCTGAGATTGCGTGGTCAAAATGAGCTGCTAGACTTAATGGACTTATACCAATCTTCAAAGCAGAGAAAGAGAAAGATGGAGAGAGGGTACAGTATTTCCTAATTTATGTTTTATTAATTATTTTAAAACTTCATCTCAAAGAAAATTATCTATTTATAGAAATATTGCTTTACAGTTTAGTCGAGAGCCAACCCATGGTGGTTGTGGTCCGCCATTTATTTTCTTTAAATAAAATTTTAAGTTTGAGCATCGTGTATGAAACACATTATTATTAAAAAACATTATTTTTTTAGTAGGATAATTTTGTTCTACCAGATTACTCGAGATTCAGTGCGTGTGTGTGTTGGTTTAATAAAAAAATATTGTAAACCAGTGAATTTGTCGGGTCCCTTTGAAAAAGGTGATTTTGCCCCTGCCAACCAGGCTTCGATTTGTGTGGAGAAGGGTAAAACAGACAATCCAATCTTGTAATCCAGTGAATTGCATCACACGATACAGTTGTAAATTGCAGGGCTAGAATTTTAAGCAAAGAAATATATACAATTAGGATTGACTCCAGTATGAATGGAGGTGCACCGAATTAATATGATCATGCATGTGAACAGAACATAGAACACGATCAGATTCATTGTTTATCTTTATCTTACATTTTAAAAATTTATATATCCACTGTTTCCTTATTTATTTATTTGCTTACTAAAAGGTTTGCTCTGTGATCTTCCCACACTTCAGCAGCGAGTTACAAATTTTAAAATGTCCTCCATATGCTAGAATAGCTTCTACAGGATACATAATTATTAATTATCAAATGCATAGTTGCAAAACCGTAATGACTTCACAGTTAATCTAGAATCTGGACCGGTTTAGTTTAAATATAAATAAATAAATAAACTCAATTCATAATGTTAAAAATTTAGGTTTATAAATGATGTGGTCAACGTAAACTTAAACGGGTCAAAACCTGATTTGTCAACTTGCTAATTTTTTTATTAAAATAATATTATTTTAATTTTTCAAAAAATTAGAATTTAAAATTAATATAAATTAACTTGAATTAAAATTTAAAATTAATATAAATTAACTTGAATCAACCCTTAATTTTTTTTTATTGACAGATTAATTTGTATATATCTCAACTAATATTACAGATTATAAAATTTATGATCATACAAATTTTTAATAATTTAAAAAAAGTTAAACTTATAATCTTTAGAATTTAAATTTAAAACAAAACTACTGCTACCGGGATTTATTAACCAAGGTGTGAAACGGGTATAAAAGGTTTGCTTCAGAGCATTTCACAAGTATTTGGGATTTCGAAATTGTTCAGCATCTCTTGGTAATAAATAATAATGTGATTTTATTGTAGAATGCTGTGGGTTAATCTGGAAAGGGAGTCGCCCTTGAAGAAGTATGTTACCTAATCTCTCATCAATTTCACTAACGGCGCCTTCAATTGCCTGACACTTGAATTTATGATGCACCGTTTAACGAGAATATAGTTATTAATCCTCAAAAACCTTCAATAATATAAAATAAAAAAATTAGAAAGTTATGATTTCTAAACAAGAGCAATTTAGGCCTTTTTTGCATATCGAATCATTAAAGAGGGGGGGGGGGGGGGGGTGGTGGGGGGGGGGGGGGGGGGGGGGGGGGGGGGGGGGGGGTTTTCTTTGGCTATTTTAATCTCATCATCGAATATGGATATGTGAATTAGGTTTCCGAATTAATAAATATAGTTTATCAATCCGATATATATATATATCAACTATATGTTTTATGTCAATTTATTTTACTATATGTCTAAGAAAGCAACCAAAAACCTTACTAGATTTAGATTAAAGATAACATTGATATAATCCATCATATTTTTCTTAACTTTCGGACAACTCAATCCCACTTTACTTTGCAAAAATTATTATAAACAGCATGCTTTAATAAGCTTTGTCCAAATGTTCACTAAACAATCATGTCTACTAACTTTCTATCAACATGTTAACTGATGGCTCCTAAATTTATACACAGTAAGCTGTTGGGATCCGGTAAAAAAGCATGTCAAAGTAAGCGCGTGCTTGATACTGCAGTAGTTTTTGCAGTTAAGGTAGGTTTTTTAATACGCGTTAATTAACCAAATATTTTTAAAACACATTCTAGACGGTGGTCTCTAATTATGGTTGTCTTTTTAGCAACAAGCATGAGCTCATTTAACATTTGAAAATCACTCAGGATGATGAACACTTCTTTCTCAAACGGACCAAACTTCTTATCATGTTAATTTGGTATGATTAGCTGACAATAATCGGTAATTAGTAGATAGTAGAACTTTTTGGTAGATTGGTGAAACATGGTGGAAATCTCTAGATGGTCAGCTATATATTAATTATTACACAGCTGTAGGAGGAGGCATCTTTCAAATGACCCAGCCTGTCTTGTGCTCAAGGCAAGAAGGATCAGCTTGTGGGGCATAGAATTATGATCCTTTTCTACATTATCATCATTTCTCCTCAAGGGACACATCAATCACGCACCCATTTCAGCCATGGACAAAAGAAACCCTGTGGACAAACGAGCTGAAAGCTTCATTGATGCTTGCTTTTTTAGCTTGCCTGCATCAGCTAATGGATAGTTGCCATTAACCATGCTATTTAGAAAATCATGATCTCGTGTTATATTCTCTTATGAATATGAGAGGATCTAAAGACTTAATGGCCAACTCCAACTTCTGTACATCGTCTACAATGTTTATCTAGCTTACAGAGGAGGTCCCCCGAATTTAGTTTTCAAACAAGTTGTTGTTGAAGATATTTTTGGTTCTCTGTTTTGCTTCTCATAAATAATCACAGATTCAGGAAGGGATCAACATTAATTTATGGTCTAGCTAGTGTAGCCACTGTGTATCAAAGAGATGCTTCGGTTCTCTCAGAACCACCTCCTAAGGGTTCAAATTCTGGTGAAGTTGTCGTCCGAGATGATAGATTTGAAAGGGTAAATTAGCCGTGTAAAATGTTTAAGAAAAGTCTAGTTTAGAGAAGTTGAAGAGTGGGAATACACGAGATTCATCTCTGATACAGTGCAAACAATAAGGACATGCTAGGCTGTGAAATCTAAATGTGTTTTTCGTTGTAATCACGCTCTCGACTTGGTTTAACAAGCGGTTCGATTATGGATTCTAAGAATCTTTTCTGCAAACTCATTATCAGGTAATTCTAGATACCTTCAATCTTTTATCCTACAGGGATGAAGAGCAAGGACAAAGTACACGATAGAAGACTCTTCTTGTTTCTCTTTCTAATGAATTAAACCAGTCTTATTATTCATAGATAATGAGCTAGACATATCATCAATTTCTTGGAGCCTCCTGCTGGATCTAATCAACCAGTCTACAACTCTTAGTGCCTGTTTGGTGGGGTTGGAATTGCTATCAAACAAACCATTAGAGACCCACCCTAATACTTCTTAGCCCAGTAAATATAATTCAGCAAGTTCATGAAGTTCAGAATACAAAGAATTGTGTAAAATAGATCCAAACGGTTGTGATTCAAATTATGTCCCCCGAGCCATTCATGATCCATTTTGCCAGTAATAGAGTTGATTATGGACACTAGTACGGAGCTAAGGAAGTAGCCCATAGAGGTAGAGCACCATGACAAAGCAGTGCAAAAACTTCTCATGCTATCAGGTGCTTCCGAGTAGAAAAATTCAAGCATCCCCTCAAGAGTCAGCATATCTGAAACACCCAACAGAAGGTACTGCCACCCTAGCCAGAACACAGACAATGTGTGCCCATTCTCTGCTGCTTCACGTCTCTTAAACTCAATAATAGCAGCCACGGCCATAGATGCTGATGCTAGTGCTAACCCAAGTCCGATCCTCCTGAGTGGTTCGAGAATGTAATGTTTTTCCGACATCTTGTTTTTGTAAGCGTTTGCTAGATGTTCTAATATAGGTATGCTGGCAAGCACGACTACGAGGGGGAACACTGTCAATGACTGGGTAGGGATTTGGAAATTGTTTATTTTTCTATTCATGATGCTCCCTTGTTCCACTGAAAATGTCTGTAGCTGGGCCAGGCAACAGTTCATCGTGATTGTGCTAGCAAAGATGGGAAGCAGGCCAAGGAAGGTCCTTGTTTCCTTGACCTGAACTGCACTAATGGTGTCATCAAATAATGCCTTGTCTAGGAATCTGCATATCATAGTCAGGAACAGAATTATATTCAAAGATTTGTATCTCAAGAATAGTTTTATATTACTCTAACATACCCTTTCAAGTGCAGACCCAATACTATCTTTTACTTAATGATACAATGTAACTGTTGGATAAAGATAAAAGAATAGTTTTACTCTCTAACAATTTGAAATAGTAATCTCAGGAAGCACAACTTTAAATACAACCAAAGATTGAAAATCATACTGTGAAGTATAAAATAAAATCTACCTGAACTTCTTAGGGGATCTTTCTCCAACTTCATCATTTTTTAGCTCTAGTCCTGATGAGACTTTTCGGTTCCGAGAAGCAGAAGCAAATACCTATGCAGTGCCACACATGCCAAAGGTAAAGGGTGCCTAAATAATTAGCACCTAGAAGACAGCTGAGTTTTTAATATTCTTGATTAATTAATGTTTGTTACAAACTTCTCTACCTTCAAGATTTTTGTGACTGGACTCCCACCAGGTCTTTTGAACCTGTAAATTGGAAAACCTGCAATGAAAATGCAAAGCGCCACACCCAAGACAACAACTGATATCTTAAAACTCCAGTTCCAGCCTCGGTTCTCTTCAATCCATACCATAATAGTCGAGGACAGCAAGCCTCCTAGGCATAAAGAGAAGAAGAACCAATTGAAAAATGAGGAAATGGACCGCTGCTTGCTGTGGTCGAACTGATCAGCACCATGTGCAGGCAAGCTAGCCTTGATTCCACCAACTCCTGTCGCAATAGCATAGAGTCCACTAAAAAGAACAGCAGCTTGAGAACTAGAAGGCCTTTCATGCAATGCTGGTTGCAATCGAGTGTCATGAGCTTGAACGGTCAAAAGGATCATCCCCTTCACATAGTCCATGAATTAGCTAAACACAACCTAGTCGCATGTAACTAATCAAGACAAAAATGAGCGTAAAAGGACTGCATACCAGTAACTCTATTATACAGAAGACAACGAAAGTCCTGAATCTAGTGAAGAAAGAGTCGCCGATGAACCCGCCAAATATCGTGAGAAGAAAAGAGGTTCCAATAAAATTAGTCACCATGTTTGCAGATTCAGAGATAGTGTAATGCATTGTCTTGGTGAAGTATGCCACAAAGTTGGTGGCGTTAGACAAGAATACCAAGTTCTCTAACACCTCCACAACTGAGACCAGAAAATTACATAGATGATTAACAATCTTTCTGTGTAGACACTTCAGTTGCGTTAAATGTTTCTAAATTTCTTTGTTTTAAGTGACAATAAACTAGATCTCATAGCTACTTTTATTTGATAACAATTATTTTCAGAACTCGACCTCAGGCCCTAGCTATGTCCCTTCCCTTATTTTGCTGGAAGACTATCATTGAGCTTAGAACCTTTAATGATAAAAATAGATGCCGAATATTTCTTGATTTTTTAATTAATTTTATTTTGTCAATGATTCCATCATTCTGTCTGTAATTAAATTCAAAATTTTTTTGATAGACATATGCCGCTGATGTTATTATCGACAAGTCCCGACGAAATATCCGTTTCTATTTGAAATTTACTGGTAGTGACCGAATATTTTCCTCTTCTACACTGTTTAAAAAGATGAAAACCACAGTACCACCTTTATAAATGAAATACCACTAACATGAACTACCAGTTGTAAAATCCTTCCTAGAGGATCCAATAAAATCAGTTCTATTGAATGCATGATTGACATAACAGACAGATTTGACCTCAGAAAATGCTTTATGGCTCAGAAATCATAGTTAAAAAGACCTAGATCCTTACAAGGACAAGCACACAAAAAAAAAAAAGCATGCATTTTGACAGAAAAGAAAATTTGTACTAGTTTTAACAGTTACCACAAGCCAAACTAGCAGCTCTCATTCCACCATGCTTTTTAGGATCTGCCTTCTTTCCTCTCCAGTCGAAGTACTCCTCAATTCCACTATTCCCCTCCTTAGTTTCCTATTATATTTATACATAGAAGCAAGAAAAGAGAAGAATATTGAGCAAATTTTGCTAATGTTTTTCTCTAAGATATTAGTCATTCTGAAACCACAAAGCATGTACGAACATAGCTAGCCTCCCCTATATGTGACTAGCTACGACCATGATCACCCAACTGGGGAGGGCATGGGGTGTCAATATAGCAAAAAGTACGGTAGCAGTCACTCACCATGAGGGACGGAATTTGAGCTCTCTCGTTCGATCGCCAAATCAAACTAAACTAGCTCAAAGAAATTGAGAAATGAAGTTAATTATGAACAAGGGGTTGGTGTTACTTTCGCTTTCCAATATGTGGAATGTTGTCTTGATGTTGATCTCATCTGGAAAACAATTTTATCCAGTAGATAAGAAAAGAATAGATTCCTGCGTTAAGGTTTCTACAGAAAAAAATCCTTTGTAGGGAAATTGCGGTTGCTTCTATCACTGAAGTACTGAACAAAGTTGACATATGGAAAAGGATTCTGCATGCTGTCAAGAGCAAAATAGCTATCAATGCATGGGCAGGAGTCACTGGATTCCCTTATTTAACAGCTTGCATGGAGGTCAAGGATTTGAAATATGCCATTCTAATCCTCTTCTTCCCGTTCTTATTTACTGTATTAAACCCATTACTCTTACAAAAGTTCAATGTATCTGTACTTAAAAACGTTTTTAGATGATTTTTTATTTTTATTTTTCTGCATTTCAGGATTAGATAGTCACTAGATCATTTTCTGTGCTGGGCTTTCACTCCGGTTAAAAAACATCTAGATATAATTAATATTTTTTTAATAAAAAATTAAATTATATAAAAGTTGATTTAATATGATGTTGTCAATTTGACTAATTTAAAAATAATGTAAATAATTAGTTAAAAACATAGTTTAATTAAAAAATAATTTAAAAAAATATTAAGATAACAACGTATTAAATGAAAGTGGGTTAACTTAGGTTAATCTTTTTAAATTTGTATCTAAAATAATGAGACCATAATAACCCATATAAAACAAATTAAAATAATTTATGAAGTTTAATTTCTAAACAACCTAATATTGAAGAATAAAATTAAAAAATTCAATTTCTAAACAACCTAATATTAAAGGATAAATTAAAAAAAAATTGATCCAAGTCAACCTGAATTAATCTGCTACATCCACGACCAAGTTATGAAGTTTAATTTCTAATAAATCTATTGTTGAATGATAATTTAAAAAAAAAATCAATTTAAAAAAAGAACACATTAAAATGACTTTATTTTAACCGGATTAATTTACAAAACTCATGATACAGAACATAAAACCAGAATAACCACATAAAAAATAAACCAAAATAGTTGATAAAGTTTAATTCTTAACTAAACCAATATTAAAAATATTTAAAGAAGTAAGTGGAAAGAATTGTCAATTAAAAAAATATTAAAAAATTGATTTAATTAAATTAATCTATCAAACCTATGGTGTGAGTTATGAAATTAAGATAATTATTAAAAAAAACACTATAATAAATCATCAATTTAAATAGTTAATAAGATAAATATTAAAGAATAAAATTTGTAAAATAAACATGGTCTCAAAAAGAAAAAAGATAAACAATCATTTTTACAATGAATAACATTTTACAAGGGGAGTGTAATAAAAGCAACACTGCTAAGCCCTCTTTATTTTTTATTATTTTATTATTTTAATTTCAATTTAATCGTACTTATATATTTAAATTTGGGTAGAAATTAAAATTAATAACTTACAGGGAGGATGAGCCCCCCTCTCTTTGCTTGAATCTTGTACTTCTACTTGCTTTGTTTTCCATTTTTAAAGATTTTGTTTCTGCTGAGATGAGGAGAAGTTCTTATATTCTTTTCCCGTCTCATTTATTCTCCACCCTCACTTCTACCAAATCCTCTGTAGGCCGTGCAAATGATCCCCTCTTTTATCCCTCAACTGGTAGCAACTAGCTAGCATTCGGATTCGTTGAACTTCGAGAGGTTGAGAAATCCCTTTCCATGGTATGAAAGTAGTTCTCTTCGAGGGGACCAACGTCTCTTTATGGCCATGGTCTTGTTGTAGAAACATTTTTATGTATGAAAAATGAAGGAAAGAATATTACGATAGTTTATTTGAATTCTATATAGAATTTGAAATGAGTAACATTTGTTTATTTGAATTCTATGGACGTGAGTTAGCAAGGAATTGATTTTAAAATTAATAAATTTATTGTGTGTTAACAATTCTTAATTCTAGAGTTACATAAATAATTATTGTGTAGGATGAAGATTTGTGTTTTCAAATCAAAACCAAGTCTTGACTTAGTCATTTAGTTATAATACACTTAATTGAATATTTACAGTTGAATTGATAGATGAAGTGCGTGAAAGAAAGTTTAAAATGCATCTAGGCTAGCGGAAATTAGGAGCTTTGTGCAATTATATGGAAATATGTCATAATTAGATAGAAATCTATCATACTACATGGATACTCTAACAAATATTTTTATGAACAAAGAAAATAAAATAAGACATAATAGTTTGTTTAGTTACATCAAATTAGTAAAGTGGCTAAAAAATATTATTTATTGCTTTGGATTTAAATATTTTCACAAGTTAACTGGAGATCTAGTTTTATTAAAACCCATCTTTTTGGTCTATCCATTACATGAATTTCCTCTGGACTTGAAGATTATGTTTGAGTTAATTTTGTTATTTATTATTATTATTATTATTATTTATTTTATTATTTTTAACTATCTCTTTTTTGTATTTTAGAATTTTGATTTTTTCTACCTTGTTAAGGTGGATTTGAGGTCTATATAAAAACTTGTAGACCTTCTACAAAAGCAAACTTGCTCAAATTAATATTTTAAAAATAAAATTAAGATTTAAGGATTTTTTTGTATTTTAACCAATTTCTATATTTTTATTCTTGGTATTGCCTTTGTTATGTTTTTATCTACATGAGTTAAAATCAAAGCCTAACAAATCTTAGTTGTTATCTTCTTGGGATGCATGTTGCAGAACAACTATAATTGAAAAAAAAAAATTATTCTTGATAGTTGTTTTGCTTTTTTTTTGCACTGTAAAATAATCATGGTTAAAAAATATTGCAAAATAAAATATATTTGTGTAGAGGATGGAATGAAAAGGTTCTTTATTAAAAAAAAAGATGTCTATGAACTTAGTTGATGTTATTTAAAATTTTAATAGTAAAACTCATAATAAAATAGCTCACATAAAGATATTGTGTTTGAGATCTGCAATAGGACAACCAATATAAAAATATTGTGTTAGAGACTCAGATAAGATATTAAAGAATTATAACTCATGCTCATAATAATGTTATTGAAAACAATGTTTAACTTAAAATTAAATTTAATGATGAGTTTTTTTCAACCCGATAAGACTAATGCAATATTTTTTTTTTAGAAAAATAAATATTTTTTATTTTTTATTTTTTATTTTTTATTCTTTGTTTCAATACTTTTCAATTTTAAAATTATTTTTTTTCTAATTTATTTGTTTATTATTGAGATTTTTTAGTTTTTTAATAAAAATTGTTATAATAATTTTTTGAAAGGTGGATATATAAATAAATAAAATTAAATATTTAAAAAATTTCTTCGTCGCTGGTTTTTTTTAAAATATTAACTTATAATAAACTTCATTATTAAAATGCTATTAACATAGGTTCATATACATAATGATTGTCTTCATTGAATTATGGTGTTAGGGTTTTGACTTCTTCAATTTCAGTTTTTTAAATCAAAATATGATGAACATCAATTCATGCACATGATGATTGCGTTCATTGAATTCTAGTTCCTGTCAACATTTAACACCAAACAAAATTCACAATCAATATCATCACTAGGGGAATAATACTCGCCACTCAACACGTAACTTTAAGATTGATTGATCTTGCTTCACCCTCACAAAAAAAAAATAAAACAAAAGAAAATAGAAAGTTTATATTTCAGTGTTTGGCCTAGCGGTGGAAGAGAAGACTCCTTTCACTGCACCTGATTCGAGCCCTGACGTGCATGTCTGTTATCTCCGCGGTGTCTTACATGCCTACTCAGTTTGCAGGGTACTCAGTAGGCCATGGAGATTAGTCGTGGTACGCACAAGCTGGCCCGAACACCCCACATAAATAAATAAAAAAGTTTATTAGAGGAAAATGATTTTTTCAAAAGTACTTTTCATGATAGTTTTTAAAATTCACAATTAATATCATCATTAATTTTACTGTTTGATATTATGATATAAAATAATTTTTAAAAGTATGTTTTATTAAGGTTTTGTTTATCTGCTGAAAAATAATTTTTTTATATTAGATAATATTATAAAAAATAAATTAAAAAATAAATTTTAATTTTTAAATACGTCCTAAAAAATAAATTAAAGAAACTTATTGATATTTTTTTTTCAAGTTATATAACCGATATAGAACATTATATTTAAATATTTGACCACTTGTAATAAACAAAATGAAATATAAAAATGTAATAGTTAAATCTTTTTTATTATATAATATATTTATATATAGTTTATTTTATAAAATATAATTATAAATATTTTAAATATAATATTATAGATATATAACCTTCCTAGGTGCGCGCGCAACATCCCAATTTTTTTACGAGGTGTTTTCTTTGTAATGAAAGGAGAGTATTTTCAAAATATCTAGTCTAGCAAAATTGACATTTAATAACTTTGATAATCAAATATGATTTTGGGTGGCAAAGAAAAATAGCTGAAAGGGAGGACGAGTTCCCCTTTCTTGTTTGAATTTTCTACTTCCACTTTTGAAGATTTCGTGTATACTGAGCTGAGGAGAATTTCTTGTATTCTTTTCCCTTCTCAGTCATTTTCCTGGAAAAGGTAATGTTTCTCTCCTCTCTCTTTAATCTTCCACGGGCTGTGCAAATCCCCTCATGCCCACAAAACTGAGGTCAGTTCCATTGCTCCATTGGTATGAAATTAGTTCTCTTCAGGTGGACCAATGTCTCTTGTTACTTTGATTTTTTATATGATTTCAAAGTTCAAGTTATTAATTATTTATATGATGGTTATTAGAGGTTTATATAATCGTTAATTTTAGGATCTATAAGATTAGTCGTGATACCTACAAACTAGTTCAAACATTTATATTAATTTAAAAAAATAAATCCATGGATTTGCTGTGGAAATATTTTTATGTGATGGAAATGAACAACAAAGAATAGGATGATAGTTTATTTGGACTTAATATAGAATCTGTAATGAGTAGCATTGTTTATGTACATTAAAAATGTGATTGGTGCATTGTTTGCATATATATATATATATATATATATGAATGTAAGTCAGCGGAGAATTTAATATAAATTTTAAAATTAATAGATTTATTACATGTTAAAGATTTTTTTATTATTACCCTAGAGCTACAAGTTAGCGTTTTAGGCTTTTGTTAACCCTACTAATTTTAGTTTTGACCCTTCTATGCTTTAGCTTTTACCTTATAAACAAATCATGGACGGTGAAAATGCAAAGAATATAACTCAGAGGGGCAGAGAGGAAAACTGAATTTGCATTGTGTTTATTTATGTTTTTTAAAGTATTTTTCACTTGAAAAAATTATTAATTTTATTTTTTTAAGTTATTTTTTATAGTTTTTATATGGTAATATAAAAAATTAATGTATTTTTAATAAAATAT